CGTGGGGTCCAGGGGGCAGAGCCCCCGGAAGCTCAGGGGTTTGGGGCAATAAATTACGGTTAGATGACCATATTTTGATACCTTATTTTGTGACACTTGCAGGACACAAATTGTTGTTTGGTCCAGGGAGCGGAGCCCCCAAAAGCTCAAGGGGTTTGGGCAATGAATTACGGTCAGATGAGCATATTTTGATACCTTATTTGCGACACTGGCAGGACACAAATTGGTGTGGGGTCCATGGGGCGGAGCTCCCAGCAGCTTAAGGGTTTTATACATTATCGTCAGAAGAGCATATTCCTTGTTGGGTCAAGCTCAGGGTTTTGGGCAATAAATTACGGTCAGATGAGCATATTTTTATACCTTATTTGTGACACTGGCAGGTCACTAATTGGCGTGGGGTCTAGGGGGCGGAGCACCCAGAAGCTCAGGGGTTTTAGGCACATTATAACGGTCAGACAAGCATGCAGGGGCCCGCCTTAGGGCCCCTGGTGCATGGGTCGAGGGGGCGGAGCCCCGGAAACTTAGGGGTTTTAGGCATTTAATTACGGTCAGATGAACATATTTTGATACCTTAATTGTGACAAATAATCTGGCAGGACACTAATTGGCGTGGGGTCCAGGGGGCAGAGCCACCGGAAGTCAAGGGGTTTTAGGGATTTAATCACGGTCAGATGAGCAATTTATAATTTTTTTTGGCCCCGAAAATTGGAAAATTACGTCGTCAGATATTTCGTTCAGTGGCTTGGTGGGGGGCGGGAGGGGGGGGGGGGGGGGGGGGGGGAAGGAACACTTTTTTTGTTGTTGCTTTCTTCAGCACAAAAAAGGGGGCCCGGCCCCCCTGGATCCGCCTGGGGTTAGGGGGTTTAACCCCCTCCCCCCCCCCCCCCCCCCCCCCCCCCCTGGGCTGCCAAGTGAAAATGTGATGTGCATAGAAAAACGACATTATGTGTCCAGACCCACACAGTATTCGTTGATGTTAGTAGATGCCAGGAAAACATCACTTACGGGGAGTTAAAAATAGCAACTAAAAAAAATCGCCTCGCCGCTATGCGGCTCGTAAATCCCCCCTAGCAAAAATCTAGACCCGCTCCTGGGTAAAGACCTAATGTAAAGACAGAATGGGAAGGTTGCTCTGAATAATGAGGAGGAAATAAAGTATGTAACAGCTTTGTCACTTGTATTTTGTAAGTCGATGGAAAATGCTGACTGTCAATGCTGCCTTGATAAATGATAATGATGAAATAGCAAAGTCTTGAGGAGTATCATGGATACCAATTCAATGGAAATTTGTATAAAAAAGAGCCCCCGTCAGTACTAAAAGAGCCCCCGTGAGAAGGCTCACGGGGGCTCTTTTTTTTGGAAGAGCCCCCGTGGACAAAAAATTAATTTGAGCCCTGCCTGGGCGGCATGTAAAGAGGGGGCAATTAAAATTTTATAATACGCAAAAGATAAAGTGAAAAATAGAAAAAATGAATACATATTATTACTACTTCTGGCTTTCATATACGATGTTTGATTACACCCCTGAACTTAGCGTCCCATGCCCCCATTAAAGTGCCCCTACCAAGTTAGAACATTATGCCCCTCTGGAGCTAAACTTACCCTGGGCGGCATGTGAAGAGGGCGCAATACAAAAATATTTAGAGGGGGGGGGGGGGCGCAAACGAAGATACGCAAAAGAGAAAATAAAAACAAATGAGAAAATGAAGAAAAATTATGACTATACTCGGCATTATAATTCATAGTGTATTATGCCTTATAGATAATTTTATGACGATATGAAATGTGAACATTTTCTAAAGCTTTCTCACTTTGCTCTCACATAAAAGTGCTTTATGATCTCGTTATTTCGCGCCTCAGTATATGATGTAGATTATAAATGGCTCTTGAAGAGGTTCAACTTTAAACAAATGAAATGTAAGTTTCATTGCTATATAGGGCCTATAAGTTGCATCAGCTTAAATCTATCACATATTATTTTATCAAATATTCTATCAGCTGTTAAATATCATGCTCCGAATAAAGGATGATAAGATATAACATGACACCAATACAGCACTTAGGAACATTAGTGTTCAGAGCTGTTATCATTATCATTATTGTAGTTAATATTATCGAAGTAACAGTGGCTAATTTTCGACGCTTTAATGAAAACATAACTTTCTGTTGCCTTACTAAATTCCTTAACATCATTTTTCTTGTGATTTGAGAACGTCGTTTATCATCATATGCAAAACTGTAAAGCGCTCGACTGTAGCACTCCCTAGGAAAAATTCCTGGGTAAAAAAAAAATATCAATAATAAAAAAAAGTTTTTTTGATGGTTACATAAATACATTTAAAAAATACTTCTCGGTCGCTTTGCTCCCTTGATTGTTAAGTAACGTAGATATAAGTCGGGGGAGGGGATAATTTCATTTTTTTCTTGGGTGCCTTTAATCTATTGAGGACCCCCCGGGGGGGGGGGGGGGGGTCGCCGCTTTCATGTGTGGCGATCGCCGGACCTGTGTTTTTTTACCATCATCCGTCACAGTGTTTCCTAATTGATGACAGCTTAACAAATGAATACATTTTTTTTTTAATCGGATATTGCTCAAACTTTCCTCCTTTTATTATAGGTCAGGATCTCTGCCAACTCCAGGAAGCTCCGACGAAGGCATCGGCGTCGGAGCTTCCTGGAGTTATATCTATGCATACTACAGTGGCGGATCCAGCCGGCGGGAAGAGGGGGGGGGGGGGGGCCCAATCCGTGAGAAAATATTAGTTGCGACTCAGCCACCGGTGGGGGGGGGGGGGGGGGGTAGGAGGCACTTTTTGTCCAATTTTTCAGGAAATATTTTGCGCCGACTCAGTCAGCCGGTGAATAAGCGGGGGGGGGGGGGTGGGGGTGAGACCACTATTTTTGTTTTTTTTCACCTAATTCGTGAGAATTTTTGTTTGTTTAATTCTTTTTTGTTGTTGACCCGTCAGCCCCCCCCCCCCCCCCGTGGATCCGCGCCTGCAGAGGATCCAGACGGCGTCAAGGGGGGGGGGGGGGTAGCCAAATCTTAATACAAAATTTAGTGCCGACTCAGCCGGCCGGCGAATGAGCGGGGGGGGGCGCTTTTGTTTTTTGTTTTATAAAGGTTAACTTTACGTTATTATCCTATTTTTTTATCGTTTTGGGGGGCTAGGGGGGGGGGGGCCGGGCCGGAATAATCGCTACGTGGATCCGCCCCTGGCATACTATGCAGCAGCAGAGCAAGAGCTGATTGATTTGTTGAATCGCATCAAACAGGCAAGTGACGAGAAAGACCTTATTCTAAACACCCAAAAGACAAAAATAATGGTTGTCGATATAATAATAACACTGACTTCACCGTAGCTGTAAATCGAGTACTTGGGTTCAATTATCACTAACAAAGGAGAGAGCACCACAGAGATAAGAAGAAGGATGGCAATTAATGGCGAGATCAACAGTACAGAATATGTCTCACATCAGGAAGAGCCGAGGCCTATCTCTCAGTCTGAAGGTTCATTCTGCTTCAAGCAACTTCTTTCTCTATTGCTACTTACGGAAGTGAGTCCTAGCTGGCCGGGGCCATGACAAAGAATGACAGAAAGAGAGTTGATGCCTTTGAAATGTGGTGCTACTATAGGAGGCTGTTGCAGGTCTCATGGAAAGATAAAAAGACAAATGTGTGGGTCCTGGAAAAGACTGGAACAGACTGACCATCAGAAGGGGAATCATGCGGAAAGAAAAATAAACTATTTTGGGCACATTGTTAGGAGATCTGAAGGTGTTGAGAAGCAAATACTGCAAGGAGCAGTCGAAGGAAAACGGGTTGGTCGTCCACCAATATCTTGGACTGATGATATCAAGAAAGTGTCTGGACAATTAAAGCAGGGCTCCCACTTAGCCGAGTTGGAGCCTCGAGTTGTGGCGAGCTGGCGCGATCTTATGGCAAGCAGTTTTATCATTAAAACATATTGCTTGATATCAAGAATTCAATTCTTGATATCACGAAATCGAATTCTTGATATCACGAAATCGAATTCTCGATATCACGAATTCAATTCTTGATATCAAGAATTGATTTCTTGATATCAAGAAATATGTTTTAATGATAAAACGGCTTGCCATAAGATCGCGCCAGCTCGCCACAACTCGAGGCTCCAACTCGGCTAAGTGGGAGCCCTGCTTTAGGAATGAAAGGTGCAACACAAATGGCAGGTGAAAGAGTTGCATGGCGTGCTCTAGCTCGTGAAGACCACAGCAGCGCTTTAAGGCCCATGACATCGAAATACAAGTGTATTCCTGTTGGTGTGCAGTCCTGCATACATCTCATATTTTGATATGTAAACTTCTGAATTTGTTTCATAGATTTTTAAATATTTTTTGAAATATTTGTTTTTCAAACTTGCTAAGCTCCACCCCAAAAACCTCCAGATCTCATTCCCCTTGTGACATCATCTGTTAGTCATCAATGAGCTAACTTGAGAAAGAGGCATGTAACTTTGCCAAAGTTGGCCACCTGTTACAATACCACAAACAATAGCAACATATAAGTTGCTATGTCAGGCATGTCAGACTAAACTAATTATTCTAGAATAGACAATGGTATGTAATTTCCCCCAGCTTAGCACACGTTCATAATAGAATTGCATGCTTCCATGTGTACAATACATCATCATTGCCTTTGTTTTCATGGTGATGCTATGCAGCATGTCTGACATGGCAACTTGTATGTTCCTATTGTATTACGTATTGTAACAGGTGGTCGACTTCGGCAAAAATACATACCACTTTCTCAAGTTAGCTCATTGATGACTGACAGATGATGTCACAAGGGGAATGAGATCTGGAGGTTTAGGGAGTGGAGCTTAATTAGCAAGTTTGAAAAACAAATATTTCAAAAATTATTAAAAAATCTATGAAAAAAATTCAGAAGTTTACATATCAAAATATGAGATGAATGCAGAACTGCACACCAACAGGAATACACTTGTATTTCGATGTCATGACATGGGCCCTTTAACAGCGCCATCTGAAGTTGATGATAATGATGATGTAAAGCGAGCCCTCAAGGAAAAATGCGCGCACGCGCGGAACACATCGTAGCATGCAAAGTGGGTTTTCCCCACCGCTGGTTTTCCCCATTGAATGAACAAACACAACAACTTCGAGCTACAATGTATAATGTGAATGTGATTGCTACGCTACGTACATTATCAGCTGGACGAATATGAAAGAGAGTGGGAAGCAAAAGACAAACGGAAACCATCCAGCTTAACAGGAGAACGGTAAATAAGACATATATGTCATATAAATTTAAATGTTCATTTTTACTTTAGAAATTAGAATTAGATCATAGATGGAGCTCCACTGGCGCCGGCATGGCACAATTGCTAGTTAGTGGATTTGAAGGTAGATATGTCGTTAAACAAGTAGAGGTCTATCTTGATCTATTGCGGGGAGTCGATTTCTGTAATCTGTATGGTTTGGTCAGCAAAATGTCCTCTTGGAAAATTCTGGACAGTGAAGAGAGACTGTCAAAGTTGTGGAACTGCATGATTATGTATAGACTCTAGTCTGCATGGAGAGAGAGAGAGAGAGGTGGTGGGAATATTCTGAATCTGTAAGTAATCTTTGAAAAATGTATGGGCCATATAAATATTGGCATGCATGCATGACTTTCAAATTCCAATTTTGTTTAATTCACTAATTAGAATCTAGCCTAATTATTATTTAATTTGTAACCAACTGCGGCCGTGTTTTGTGCACTGTAGCCTGTAGGTTGTTGCTGTATGTACTTGCTGAAGGAAACCGTCAATTATAGATGATTTTGCATTAATTTTAGATCAATTTTTCCTGTAGTAGTCTACTAGTACTAGTAGGACTAGTACTATAGTACTTAGTAGGCCTATAGCGATTCTCATGCATCAATGCTCAACAAGTGCGAAAGTGTCATGAGTGTGGCCATTGAATTGTATCACTCTCGCTACTCAGTAAACCGTCTAATATGGTATAAACTCTTTTTTGTTGTGTACGCAAAATCTTTTCACAGGAACACACCATGTTTTCAGTCTAAATGGGCTGTATTTATAGAATTTCAGCTCTGTTACACTGCACAAAGTTTACAGGCCGTCTTGGGATCAGTAAATAATAGGAAGGGCGGTCATGGGCAGTTCAGTGTCTGTCATAAAAGGAATTTTTTCCAGACTAGTAAGGAATTCATTTGTTTAAGAACTGGCAGGAAATGTACTGCTCAAAGGTTATTTAGAGTTAGTAAAGCTTATTATGCAGTAGTGCATACATTTGCATTTTTGACACAGAGGGGTACTTCATGAATTACCAATACCAATTGACTTTCCTGTGACTTTCTCTTCTTTTTAAAAAACCTTTGCAGAGCTCTATTGACTGCCAATTGAGCCATCAAGGCATGCTTTGTTTCAAGTGCTTCATCAATGGATTTCTCAATTACCAGAAGTCTAGGAATTCAGGAAGCAAAGGTTTAGCGTGTATTCTTAAAGAGCAGAAGTGATCACATTCCATGTGGTCAGCATGCCTAAGAAGAGGGTTTCACACAATAGAAAAAAATGGCAACAGTCATCAGCAAAGCACAACCCAAGAAAAACCAAAGATGAGAATATGACAGGACCCAGTACCGATCCCCAAGGGACACCAGGAGACGGAGAGAAAGCATGGTCCATGAGGGATGGAGCCACAGGTTAGTTTCAATCGAGTAGTTGATCAAGTGACCTATACAGTGTGAGCCAAAAAAAAGTTTACACCTAGAAAATTGTTAATTATTTTATAAATCATCTATGAACACTAAATTATTATACATCCTATGAAGGAGTGTTTTATCCCGAATCGTTTGGTACCATTTTTGTGTGGTATGTGATATAATTAGCAGAAAACTTACTTTTTATTGGTAAATTTTCAGTTGATATTGGCTTTCTAATTCTTGCGTTTCACAATACATGCGCCACCAACGTCGTCCCATGAGAGGCACCCGTGGGTCGACAAAAAATATGGCAAAGAATGAAGATTCATATGAGAATAACATTCTGCAGCTTCACAATAGAAGACCATGATGACGATTTCAACTAGATCTAATCCAGATCGAAATGCAAAATGATGATGTGCCGGGACTGAGCGGCAGCTAGCGGGGCCAGCTCCCAGTGATGTCTCACCGGCGTGCGATGAATAACTAGTGAGCTGATTTGTCGAGAAAGTTGTCGACCCATCTCCCAAAATTACTGTGCTAGAGTTTCTGTCGCAACTGAACCGGAATGAGGGCGCAAGGATTGTGAAACGCGAAAATTGGATGGTATTTGAAAAGTATGTCATTTTACACCGAGAGGTACATGTACATTGTACATGTATGTTTATTGTCATGAAAAAATCTAATATTAGGAAAGTCATTGGTTAATGTCTGAGCATACATGTAGGTCGCAATGTACTTGTAAAGTTTACAGAGAAATTACACTTGCAAGTTCCTTTTTTTTGATAATTACTTGACATGACATTGTGACCCAAAAGTAAGGATTTATTTTCAGAATACCACCCCTTGACTCTGCAATCTACAAGAAAACTAATCAAGGAATCAGATTACAAATTTTTCTCAATTTAATTCCATTATGAAGACTTGTAACATACTAGTTGGAATGTTGATGAATAGGGCAGCTACTAGTACTATACAAACATATTTTCCTGCACTTCATGCAAATTATAAGAATAATCCCCGCTTCTGCTGAGCTACAATGATGAGGCAATAAGCATTCACAGAATTTCTTCCTACCAGGTACCCACTTATCTCTCCTGGGTGGAGATTGGCAGAAGGAGTTTAAAGGGGGTGTAGCATCGCAAATTCTGGTTAACGCCATCTACGACTTCTTTTGGACAACTGCACGTAAACGAATAGACTTACTTAACGGTCAGCGCACACTAGCATTTGCGAAACAGACTGAAATTCTCCTCATGCTTCAGTTTCGCGTATGTTGCATGCACATGAATACTGCAGTGGCGTCGTCTGTAGTCGTTTTATACCGGGTTGGCCCCGAGTCAGGCCAAGGGAAAGACACGTAGTATCGTCAATACGGTCATGCCACACCCCCTTTAATGTCCTGCCAAACCCTGTCCTACTTGAATCACTAGATCAATACACCTCTAATAAAAAAGTGATCTGCATCATATAGTCAGTGAAACTTTGGGTAGTTTTCCGTGAGGTGCTAATTGCCATGCCGAGTAGCTATTTTCATTTCTTTTTAAATTCTTTCTTCAAAGCAATAGCTGCAATGCGACTTGAAGAGAAGGACATTCAACAAGACAGTATGGCTCTACTCCAAAAGAGCAGCCCCCTGGTTGACCAACCTTCTGGTGATGTGGAAGTACAAGAGAGCTGGCTTGAGAATCTGCCAGGTATGTCCTTGATTTAGTTTTCCCTTTATATCCCACACAGATTATCTCCCTGTGCAACGTCATGGGATAGATAGAGTATATTTGAAGGCTACATAATTATCTAACTGTTTCCAGTGCAAGATTAATCTTTACCAGTGATTAAAAGGTAATCATGGAGCTAATACACAAAGCAATCCTTTAGTCAATTGGTGTTAATGTTCTGTGCAAAATGTATGTGTGGCAAATGAGCAACTGTTCATAGATGCGAAGAAAGCAACCAAAGTATTATGAAAGTAATTGCTTCTCCATCCATCGAAACAAGCTCGAGCTTGTCATATTAGACTAGTTTTTCAGCAATTCTCTAGAAAATGGTCAGAGCACTATTAAGCTCCCTGTTTCTAATGATAACATTGTCATAATAATATAGATGATAATATTAATAGTAACGATATAGATGACGTGGAGCTGTAGCTAAGTACCTTCTATATACAGGTCCAAACCAAGAAGAATAATTTCTATACCGTACTTTATGGCCTCTTTACTCCCATTATATATCATAGAAATTATGGCGAATACTCAAACATTCTAGTTTAGTATGCTTGTGGTACTTTGTGCAATGATGAAGTGGGTTTCATTCAATAAGTTTTGACTTATTTTCAAACATGTTGTTTGAACGTACATTTTTTTAATTGAATGATAATGTTAATGACATCTGAATTGTATAGACTACTGTTTTTCAACACTTTTTAAACCCTCCATATTTGAATTTAAATATTTGCAGACCAAGAAAAGCAGTTCTGCCTTCCTGAAATTCAACATGAGTTCTTGAACTGTTCAGTTGTATAAAAAATGAAACAAGTCGATAACGAGATGATTTTGAATTTCTTATCTTTGTTTTGGTTGAAATGACACCATGAAATTTTCAGGAGGTCCATTGGAAGTGGCTTGCAACGAACAGTCACATATCATGTTCACGTTCACGTATTGCGCCTTTTCGTGAAACAGGTCACCAAAACCTACAAAGTGTTGGGTTACGTGACCCAACAATTTGTCGATTTGCTATATGCAATCTACGAAAGCTCACGTAGCGGGCCTTGGCCTTGGCCCCCCCCCCCCCGCAAAAAAAAAAAAAAAGAAAGAAAGATAGAGAGAGAAAGAAGGGAAAAAGGAGAGAAAGGGAAAAAAAGAAGAGGAAGAAGAAAAGAAATGGGGGAAAAAGAAGGAGATCGAGGGGGGGGGGGCAAAAGGGCCTTGCCTCCCAGCTGTTACCTCCCCTTCCCCCCCACATCAGGAAGGAAGGAAGGAAGGGAAAGGAAAAGAGGAGAGCTAAAAGGGATACTAAAAAGAGAGAGTAGAAATGAAAAGGGTAAAAAGAAGGGGAGAACAGTTGCGATTAATACCGCCAACAACGTGTGGATCGGGGGGCCGAAAGGCTCTTGCCTCCCCCTTGCAAACCTGAAACAGAGAGAAGGAAGGGAAAGGAAAGAAAAAGAGGAGACAAAGGGAAAGAAAAAAAGAGAATGAAGAAAGGTAGGGGAGATCAGTTACGATTTTCCCCGCCAACAAGGGTGTAGATCGGGGGGGGGGGGGAACAGATGCCCCCCAAATATAATTCAAACATGTTTTATTTCTCATTTTCCTCAATGTTTAGTAAATTATACTTTTTATACGTTTGTCGGAAAATGGCAAATTCAGAAAGAAAGAAAGAAAAAAGAGTGACCTGCCTTTGTCACATATAGTAAAGTGTCAAAATTTGCTCATCTGACCGTGATTAATTGCCTAAAACCCCTGAGCTTCCGGGGTCTTCCCCCTGGACCACACGCCAATTACCCCCTGTCCACACACAACATTTTCCGTGATTAGTCATGATTAGCTATACCGTTTCGCGATAGTGATACCGTTTCGCGATAGTTTTACGACCAAAATTGTAGGTGTGGATGCTCACTAACGATACGTCGTATAACGAAACTAGTCTAACGAAACGCAGGTTTGGGCATCGTTTCGAACTGAAACTCGATAAAGAATCACGCCTAATCACGGACATTTTGTGTGTGGACGGAACTAGTCTTAACTGGGCGGGGCTTAACGTGACCTCGAGCGAAAGGAGATTATGAGCTCTCATTTCTGCTTCCAGCTGACCGCTGCGCAGCCAGCTGATTATACATAAATATACTGCATGCATTGTTCCAGTGGCACAGTCAATGCAAATACTAGTACTAGTGGTGCTGCACATGTGTTTCTGTTTCGGTTTCGACTGCGCAGTAGCAAACTGCGCACCTATACGACGTTTCGTTATAGAGTTTCGGGATAACTTTTTTGTGTGTGTGGACACCCTGGAATTTATACGATGATTCTTTAGTGACGACGTTTCTTGTGTGTGGACATCCTGGAATTTATACGATGATTCTTTATACGACGTATCGTTATAGAGTTTCGGGATAAATTGTTTTGTGTGTGGACACGCTGTTAGTGACCTGCCAGTGTCAGAAATAAGGTATCATTATGCTCATCTGACCGTAATTAAATGCCTAAACCCCTGAGCTTCCGGGGCTCTGCCCCCTGAACCCAACCAATGGCCCTAAGGCGGGCCCCTGGATGCTCATCTGACCGTGATTAATTGCCTAAAACCCCTGAGCTTCCGGGGTCTTCCCCCCTGGACCACACGCCAATTAGTGACCTGCCAGTGTCAGAAATAAGGTATCATTATGCTCATCTGACCGTAATTAAATGCCTAAACCCCTGAGCTTCCGGGGCTCTGCCCCCTGAACCCAACCAATGGCCCTAAGGCGGGCCCCTGGATGCTCATCTGACCGTTATATATTGCCTAAAACCCCTAAACCTCAAGGGGCTCCGCCCTCTGGACCCCCCGCCAATTCCTGACCTGCCAGTGTCACAAATAAGGTATAAAAATATGCTCATCTGACAGTTATTTAATGTATAAAACCCCTGAGCTTCTGGGGGCTCCGTCCCCTGGACCCCACACCAATTTGTTTCCTGCCTGTGTCACAAATAAGGTATAAAAATATGCTCATTTGACTGTTATTATTGCCCAAAACCCCTGGGCCCCACACCAATTTGTGTCCTGCCAGTGTCACAAATAAGGTATCAAAATATGCTCATCTGACCGTAATTAAATGCCTATACCCCCTGAGCTCTAGTCGTTACTCTCACTCTGTCTCACTCAGTGACTCATTGTCACCCAGGAAGCTCGGCCAGGCTAGGCCAGTAGCTAGGCCAATGCATGCCCTAAGTCCACTGCAGTGGCAAAGCCGTGTTGAGCCGTGGCCGCGTAGCCGTAAATAGTATCGCACGTCATTACCGAGTCTATACTAGCTGAAATCCCAACAGCTGAAAAGTTATACTTATAATCATCCCAAAGTATACTTAGGTTCTCACTTTGTATCATCGATAATCTCGCTGAGCGCTGGCTAGCCTCGATCGTCACGTCGTCAAACCCTGCCGGCCTTGTCCTCGTCGATATTGTCGCGACGCGCTGTCAGCTAGCTAGGCGCAAGCGATACGTACATACTGTACGTACGTACATACATAAATCATACATATTATGGTGACGTCATGACTAGTCTTAGTAACAAGCATTTGCAATTTTTAAAATATTGATTAAACACTCGCGTCACGTTTCGGTAGACGTGATCATTTGTGTTTTACCGTCATGGAAAACAACGAATGGTAGGCCCTATACTTCGTAAATTACAGTCACCTATTTTACGAAACAGCGCAAAACGTGAACGTGATACGTGATACGTGACTGTTCGTTGCAAGCCTATCTTGAAACATGTATCAGGCTATCAGCTTGATATGAATAAAATGCATAAATTAAAAGATACAGATAACAAGTGATTTGATTCCTAAAAGTTCCTTTTTTGGCAGTCAAAAAGATAATTACAAATATCATCAGCTCTGTGTCTTATTTTCCTTTCGTTTTAGCTTTAAGATCAATCAGTGTTCTGTTTTTAAACATCCAGAGCTCACCGAACTCACCCTGTGGAAGGTCAGTGAGGTCATTTCACCGCACAGATTAATGCCATTGGCACTGAAGCTTGGTCTACCTCAGATAAAGTTGAAGATTCTGCTTGATGAAAGAAGCACCATGTGCCAACAGGAAGAGAAAACCTTCAAGATGCTCTACCAGTGGTACATTGACCAAATAGGTGACCCGTCCAAGTTCCTCTTCCAGGTTCTGACAACAGACGAGGGTCTAGACCAGGAACCAGTCTTCAAATTGTGTAAGTCCAAGGGTAGATACTGTAAAGAATGGATGTAGGACAGAGTTCGCTAAACAGGGAATGGGGGTAACAAGTTCCTCTTCAGGGCATCGAATGGTGTTCCTAGAATGTAAAGAAGGTATGTAGAACCAACGTTGCTAAATATGTGAATGGGTGATGGTGATCCTGATGACTGTTGAGGACCTATACACTGGAAACAAGTCCTCAAATTGTGTAAGTCAAAGACCCGGCCCCCCCTCTCCGAGAACGGTCGGACCCCATGCGTGTTACCAAAATGTCCGGTAAAGGGGTACTTTTCGTGCGACAAAGTCCGGCCCGAGAATTGTAAAAAAAGGGGTGTTTTAACTTTTCACCCGGAGATTTCTTTAAAAAGGGGGTGTTTTTTCTTTTTTTCTCTCATCTCTTTGGACTCCTGAGGAATTATTCTGACTTTAGGGGGGTACATTGGGCATTTTTCCTGATTTAGGGGGGTCTCCAAGGCAGGAAAGGCCCGCGAAAAGCACGCGAAAGGGGGTTCGGAAATGTTGGCAGTCCTCAGATAGGGGGTGCTTTCAAAAAGAGGTAACAAGCATATGCGTACCCTAAATAACACTGAGTGGGGGGGCCGGGGTCAAAGAGTAACTAGATTATTTAGGAAGTATTTATGAAATACTGTAAAGATGTGATGATGGACCAAACAGGGAGCATGAGAATGATGATAATATTTTGGTACAAATGTCATGTTAAATATCGTCATCTACATGTATGAACTCTACAAACAAAGCTCCCTGCTTTGGTATTTAGATTGAAAGTGACACATAATCCATTGTGTTTTGGTTTCTTTCAGTTTTTGAGAAGCAGCACACATGCACAAGCCTTTTTGGAAGATCTTTCCAGGATTTGCAGCTGTGGGAAATAGCAGAAGAACTCCATCTGGATAAGCTGATCCCATTGAGTCTTCGATTAGGTCTGACCTATGCAACGATCTGCAGTATTCGAGAGGACAGCAACAGTCATTCTGTAAATGTATGCTTCAACGTCATGGTTCAGTGGCAAAAGAAACAAACAGCTCAGATCGACCAGGTCGAAACTCTCGCCAGGATTCTGGAGGCATGCCGTGAGAGAAGAATAGCATACATGATCCGTAAGTTTTCAGTACATTCATGTTCTTCCGATGTTTCCTTTCTTTCTTTTTTCAGAAGTGCAACATCAAGAGCACAGATGTAATTCATGTTTTCATTTTAGACTTGATCAAAATATCTCAGAGAACCTACATTTAACTCTAGGTACATGTAGCTATTTTGTTTGGACCGACCTAGACAGAAAAAGACAAATATGTTCCTCTCTTCATAGTGGACAGAGTAATTGAATTAGACTGAGCAAAACAGGAAAAAGATAATACAGGAGATGGGAATTGTATTGGCATCTACTGTACCTGAAACTAATTCAAAGCTTTGTCTTGTAATCTACAGGCCAGAATCACTTGGGTGTCACCAATGAGGGGAAGACATTGCTTATCAGTGAAGACCAGCCTATGGAGGGAGTGACAGGTAAGACATTTTATATTCACTCTAGCTTCGGTGTACGACATTTGCTCCTGCAACAATAATTGCTCAGTGCACTGACCAAATTCTTAACTTCATCCCTGGACCCAACATCATGATATACCTGCCCCTATAACCCTAAACTTAACTTAACACCCACTTGCAACCCTAACCCTAATGCTGTAAATATGATGTAGTAAAACCTAGAGCAATTTTAGTGCTAGCAAATGTCGGGTCACCATCGCCAAAGATGGGAAAACATTGCTAATGTATGAATATCAGCCTATAAAAGGTGATGCAGGTAAGACATTCTATATTCTCCATCACTTCAGTGAGGATTCCAAGTCAGGAAGTACTTTGTACATGTTTTATTCACCTAGCAGAATTGTTGTTGCTTCTGTTGCATGTCCGATAAGATATACATTATATAGTCTTCTACGCTATTTTTAATGACTCCCATCAATATTCTAGTTTTTGTGTCTGTCTCTGTTTTGGGGCCATAGCTTTCTTTTCTTTTTTTTTGTGGAGAAGAATAAAGCAATGATTTTGTTCATAACTATGTATTGGTGATGAATCTTTGTTAGCGTAAAAAGACAGTTTATATGAATTAAACTGTGACATAAGCAATGTCCTCTTACAACTAAGCTTATTTTTATACCTTGTTCTTGTTCACGAATGGTTCATGTTGTGTCTTTGTTTCCACAGAAGTTCAGCTCAATGTCACCCATTCCAACCAGTTGATAAGGGAAGAAGCACAAGGTAAAATAAAAGCTCTCCAAGATGCCAGTTCCTCAGAGGTCAGTTTGGTCCCATCCACAGGAGTAGCAGCAGATTTTTTAGAAGGGCTGAAGACATTCAGCAACTTGTGTAAGCGTCACTCAGACTTAGTGAAGTGCTTGAAGAGGAGCATAGGGAGAGATGGATTCTACAAGCTCATTGGACTGACTGTAGATTCTATTCATTTACATGTGAAGGTGTACACCATCAAAGGGCTACGTTGGCTTCAAAGTGATGTCCAAAGCGGCCGCATCGGACATCAGCTTGGAAAGGTGCTCGTCTCTGAAAAAACGAAGCAGCAAGTTCTAGAGGACATCGTTCTAGATGTTGTGCTTGAAGGAAGTGGTGCTTGGGATCTACTTTCACATGCAGTCATTGACCCGATCCCTCCAAGCACTAGTCTGTCAACAGATTTTGAGAATAGGGAAGCATTGAAAGAAGACAGAACATCATCGTCAGATCTCATGGCCCAACAAGGACACCCAGTTGTCCCTGAAGCCACTGTCAGAAATCAGGTTTTCAATCAAGAGGAAGGAAACTCTGGTCTCCTAGCTTGTAGTTCTCCTCTGGCAACACCCGGAGCAGTTGCTTCAGTGGCACCTCATGTATCAATGAGACAAGAGAAATGTGGGCCAGAGGATGCTGTGGACGAAGATTCTGCAACAAGCACAGAGAAGGCATATTCAGGTAAGAAATATTATATTCACATTGAGCTACTTGTACTTCTACATCTCAAAGATTTGTCTTTTACATTGAACTTGACTTAGGGAAATTGGTGATTTTGTTAAAAGGCAGAAGTTCTATTTCAAGCCTTTATCTGATCCATGTGTGTTTAATTTGTATGAAAGCAGCAAAATGAGATAAATAGAATGATGACAGGTGAACTCTCCTGTTTTTCATTTTAATAAATTTACATTTATTTTTCTCCAAATTACCTTCTCCCTTGGGGTGCTACTCAGAGATATTATGGATAACATGCAGTGCTCCAAATACACGGGGGCGTTGGGCGATTCGCCCCCGTGAGCTACCTAATAGCCCCCGTCAGGTTGCTCACGGGGGCGATTGCAAAATTAAAAATTTATGAAATAAATATTATCTTTTCTGTTATAACTTCAACACAATATTGAGTTTCAATTTTTAAACCTTAAACCAATGAAATGAAACTTAGATTAGTGTGCAAGATTTCTCGCTCAAATTTATCGGTGTCTAGAGAGTAAAGGCCGCCATATTCTCCCATCTCTATGAGTATTACTGATACAAACAACGGAAGCTTGCAGTGCAGTGCGGCCGTCAGCAGTGGCTATACTGCGCCGTAAGTACTAGTGCTGTAGTCAAACGTTTAACTGTCCGGTATCCGACCACCCATGGCACTATCTGTTTTCAATTGGACGGTTTCGTTTTCCTATTTTTTTTTTCTTCAATAATATATTTTTTTTAAAGTTTTGATTTATGCCCCTCCACCTGGCACTATGCCTGGCAATGTCTCCCAGCTCAGTAATTGGTGTGTTGACTCACCACTTGGAAACTAGAACAGCACTCCAATTTGTCTGTCACCTTGGCTTGAAAGTAATCTTTGTAATAGATTTCAATATGATGTTTATAATAATACTTCCTCCAATTTTTCTTCTATTACACATGGCGTATCACAAGGTTGTATCCTAGGTCCTCTACTGTTTTTAATTTACATCAATGATCTTACACATTCTTCTAAAAACGACATTGTTACTATTTGTGACAAGTTCACAAACACAAATCAGCGCCTTCAACTGCACCTTGCAGTTAAATGAAAGTCCTTCCGGCATGGGTTTTTTAACACGGACCTGGCTTGCTGCCGACAGATCGAGTCAGCCAAGAAAAACATGGTTAAACGGAATTGGAGATATACGTGATGTTATAGCACTAGTTAGTACCGGTTTGTGTGCATGCTGCCACCCCATATGGTCATAAAGTTGTTTTTCGTTGTGAAAAGTGTGAATCCTCTGAAATCTGGTGATTCCAAATGACCAGCAAATAATAAACCTCGACCAGTAAATAAATATTGAGGAAGACCAAAGATGTTGTGACAGGATATGGTAACATGGGCGGATCAGGGGGGGAGGGAGGTTTAGGGGCAGGTGCGGATCCAGGATTTATAAGGGGGGGGGGGCCCAAATTTGAAATTATGCGAGCCAAATATTGGTACGTAATGGTGACACCGGCAGTGGCAAAAACGTTTTTTTTTGGGGGGGGGGGGGGTAGACAAAAAAAATCCCCATCACCCTACTCTTAGATGCAGGCCTCGCTGAACGTTTCTCGGCGGGGGTCAAGGGGTGGAGCCCCCAGAAGCTCAGGGGTTATACCTGTAGGCATTTAATTACTGTCAGATGAGCATATTTTGATACCTTATTAATTTGGGACACTGGCAGGACATAAATTGGTGTGGGGTCAAGGGGGCGGAGCCCCCAGAAGCTCAGGGGTCTTAAAAGTTTTCCGTCAGATGAGCATATTTTGATACCTTATTTGCGACACCGGCAGGACACAAATTGGTGTTTGGTCCAGCGGACGGAGCCCCCAGAAGCCAGAGGGTTTTTATACATTAAATTATCGTCAGATGAGCATATTTTTATACCTTATTTGTGACATTGGCAGGTCACGAATTGGCCTGGGGTCCAGGGGGCAAAGCCCCCGGAAGCTCAGGGGTTTTGGGCAATAAATTACGGTCAGATGAACATATTTTGATACCTTATTTGTGACACAGGCAGGACACAAATTGGCGTGGGGTCCAGGGGGCGGAACCCCGGAAGCTCAGGGGTTTAGGGCAATAAATTACGGTCAGATGAGCATATTTTGATACCTTATTTGTGACACTGGCAGGACACAAATTGGAAAGGAACACTTTTTTTAGTTGTTGCTTTCTTTAGCACAAAAACAAAAACATAATTAAAATCTTTCCCCTTTTTTCCTTCTTTTTTTTTGCCGAAGGGGGGGGGGGGGGAGGGGGGGGGGGTCCGGGCCCCCTGGGACCCCCCCCCTGGATCCGCCACCTTTAGTACTATGGGTGCTGCAAATTGTACTGCGAGTACTACATGTAGGGTAGTACTGCAGTAGTACCATGGGTACTGCAAATTGTACAAGTCTAAAGCCAGGTACTGCAGTAGGCTTACTACCGGTACTGCATTAGTACCCCAGTACTTGCAGTACTTTTTTTACATGGGTATACTAATACTACTACTACTACTACTACTACTTAGTACTACTTAGTACTACTACTACTACTCCTACTACTACTACTACTATTACTACTATTCCTACTACTACTATTAATAATACTATAACGTATAGAAATATCTCCTTTGATTTTACTTTTACCAGATGAAATAAAAGTCAAACGAATCAAGATGGAATGTTGTAGGAGAGTTGGAGTTGACGGTGGCAAACTTCAGCTAGATACCTTTGGGATTGAACTTGAGATCCCTCCTGGTGCAATTGAAAGCGAAGCGCCGCAGGACATTTCTCTTCGTGTCCTGACAGATACTCCTAATCTTGGCAACAGCAAAGAAGAGATGTCAGTCTGCTTTGGTGTACAGTGTTTAGCCCCTGATGACTTAGTCCTCAAGTTACCGGTGACTTACATAATACCTCACTGTGCTGTGATTCCACGATACTCCAGTGTGGAGGCAGTCTTGTACACGGGAGAGGGAGAATACTCAACCGGTAAGTACATCTTAACATATGCCCAATATTACGTAAGCCAGTTCTTAGTTTGTGCTATAGTATTAGTACCAAAAAAATATATATATATACACTGTATATCTGTAATCTAAATAAGTTATGTGTAAATACTAGCCAAGGAAAAATGGATTAAAAAAATAGTAATAATAATAATAATAATAATAGCCTAATAGTCCACTCCAAATTTTATTAAACCGAAACAGAAATTTGTATCGCCCAATTGATTGTGAGCCCGGCAGCCACTGAGCAGCGCCAGATCGACGTTGCTCTATCCCTTATTGTTGAACGCCAAACAAGGTAGCAACAACTCCCATTTTTTTCTTTTTGGTATGACGCGGCCGGGGTTCGAACCCACGACCTCCCGGTTGTGAGGCGGACGCTCTACTGACTGAGCCAACACTCCGGCCATACAATCATCTCCTGCACATTTAATCTCAATTGTAAATATGCATTTCATAGATTTCTTATTTTCTAAATTTATCATTATCCCTCCTCAAATCGGCAACAATTGATTAAACAATTTCCACTCCCTCACAGTTTGAAAAATATGAAAAAGTATATACAATGAACCACTGTGAAAGAAAATTGCAAAAATAAAAAAAAATAATTCCAATTTGTAAACAAACGTAGTGATTTTATATTCTACACCGCTATTAGAGACTTCACTGATTTGTTAGAATTGAATTGCTCTTATTCGAATAGGGATAAGGCGCTAGTTCAGAAGTCTATCCAAAATTTTACCCGTAACTCTAAAACTCTATAACTACTAAAACATACCAAAAATGAAGTCAATATTCATCAAATGTCCAAATAAAGGTCCTGATTTAAAAGTCGTTATGTTTGTTACCTGTTTCGTGTCAACTTTTAAAATCTTTTTCAGAGTATTTTTCCTACAAACGAAGACTTATAATATGCACTTTCTCACGGGATTCATAGCAAACTGAGGCACAATAATTACATACCGTCCCGACGGTCGGTGCGGGCGCGCGCGTGTGTTAAGTTAGCGACTGTAATCTTAATTTACCTCTCATATAAATGTAATGAAATTGTATAATAGGCAAAAACTTACTGTAGTTTCTATTATCAACATTATGCATACACTAGAAAGCTCAATTTGAATGATGGTGTATGTATACTACATATATACAAGTATATAAATAAATATACTTACATATCTGTTCACACTAGACGCAGAAGTAAAGGAACGAATTCCATTAACACAGTCTGGAATACCCAATTGCAACATCAAGAGAGATATACTTAGCTTGCAGATGAATCACTTCTCTTGGGCGTACATCAGATTAAAGATTAAAAATTTCTTCTTTAGAGGGAAGCGATTGTGTTGCCTGCCATTTGCCCAAAAGCTACTACCAGAGGAGAGAACTCCTGTCGTCTTACGTGCACATCTCTATGATGACATGAAAGGGAGCAAGGAGGTAAGAATATTGTCTAAATGTCTTTGGCATTTAAAAAAGCATAGTCAATGTTACTATGTTGATGCAAATCTTGAGAAATGAATTGATATAAAAATTTGTGTTTCAAAGCAACTTTTAGCCTAAGAATAATTATCAACTCTCTAGAATATCACAAGCTCTATCATTTAATGTTATCAAACATCTCTGGTCCATTGAAATCTTGTGTCACAAAGATGGAAAATAATCTTACAAGACTACTGTCTTTCTCTTTTGTTTTGAAATATTTGTTAACTTAACTCGTTTTCGCGCGTAACACCATCACACACAACATAGAATCACCATTTTTTTTCTCTTTCAAGATATTTCCCATATTTTTGCGAACAATTTGATATACCACGTTTATCTCTTTATGACCATTAAAGATGAGCGTACATTCAAGATAAATGTCCGTGCGCGCGAGCTCTTGTAATAAATAACTATGGGCAAAAACATGCCTATACAAAAATCCATAGTAGCTCTATGGGATGCACCTGGACTCCAAATTTGTTTTCATATTTTGATAGAGTATGGGTCGGGATATGATTTTATGTCTCCGTTTGCCATTACAAATATTCTGACGTCAACAAAATGGCCTTCAGACTCAAAAAAAGAATTTGCATATTATGACGTCAGCATATTTATGGAAAATTTATTGTATCTCTGTAAATATTGATCATATTTTTCCTCCAAATTTCGATATGTTGAAGCTAAGTCCCGCCGCCGCACTAATGTCCTTTGACAAGACATTGATCTACATTTGCCACACTCCACCCAGGTGAAGTAAATGGGTACCTGGTAGGAATTTATTCCTTGAAACGCAGCGCGCATAACAGCTGCACTGCTAAAGCCAGGGTAATTATGCTGCATTATTGTAGAGCGCTTAGAGACTTCTGATAAAGTAAGTGTTAGGCGCTATATAAGCAAATATAATTATTATTAAGACAACTCTCCACAAGCTCAGTCGACATTATTTTTTCATTTTGATGACGTCATCATAGTGTAAATTTCGATTAAAGGCCACATGTCAGAAATTTCCCAATTCGTGAGTTATGCCTATGGAAGGTGAATTTCGTTCACATCATGAATCTTCATGACTTTTTTTTGTTACCAGTAGCTTGTTTATTTTTGCTCTATTTTGTCTCAAATTTTAGTTAGAACAGCCCACCTATACTTGTTCCAAACAAGTATTACATGTCTAGTTTATTTTTGTATTGTTAAATCTTTTTGTGACAGATGGTATGCCAGGAACAAGACATAGGTTTTGCTTGTATTCATCCTGAAGTAGAAGTTCTTATCAATGTGGCAGAAGTTGACATCATAATGACTTGTTTCATAGAGGGTGATTCAATTGGAGAATCCGTAAGTTCTCTTTTATAGTAATGAATGATGATAAATAATAATGATAATAATGATAATTATAATAATAATAATATTATTATTAACAGAATAAATTCTAATGAATATAATGATAATAATAATGATAATAATAATATATTATTAATATATAAGATGTTTAAGGCACAAAATCCACTTAAAATCAAATGGTCAAGGTGCACTAGTGTAAAAGATAAAACAACATTCATGTCTCTAAACAAAAATACCAATAATTAGGATACATAATTAACAACAAAGCAAAAAGAGAAAGAAGCCAAATCAAATATTTTCTTTTTAGATTGTTTTTGAACTCTTCAACTGACCTGCAATTTCTAATCCCTTGAGGGAGAGCATTTCACAGCAAAGGCCCTGCATGAGCAATAGCCCCTCATACTCAATGTGTAATTAACTTGGGAACAACGAGTCATCCAGAGTTTTGAGAACATATTACAATGTGGACGGAATGCAATGATTTATCAAAGTAATACTTTACGAAGCAGAGCCAGGGACACAGTGAAATCCAATCAAAAGAATTTGGAAAACAATTTGTGAACTTTTAGCCCACCAATTTAGTGCTTTTATTCATTTTTTATTCAGCAGAGACAAAATCAAGAAAACGGTGAATACAAAACAACGTGAAGGTTTGGAGAGAGTCACATGAATACCGGGAAAAACTATAACCGGAAGGTTTTCTTTCCAAGAGAAGCTTTGAGAACTGGTGTGATGTGACTGTGTTTGTTGGAGAGGGTCACTACACAAGCAGCAAAGTTTTGCAATTTTGCTATCAGAAAAGTTGATAGTGAGGCAAATTTAATAAAAGGGCATTTCCAAAATCAAGACGAGATGAGATCATATGTTTGATTTAGTTTGATTTGGTTTGACTTGATTTGATTTCTTTACCAAACTCAAATAAGTACAACTCTCTCTCTCTCTAAGTGCCATATCGTTTGACTTTGGTGATCATGCTGTTCCACAACCCTCGGCTCCTAGCCTTCTGTATTAGTACCACTCCCAGTTCTTTCACTCCTCTCTCTTCCAACAATTTTTGCAGACTGTCCATCCAAAGTATCCTCCTTCTTCCCCTACTCCTTCTTCCCACAATTTTTCCTGTCAAAGCAAGATTCTCTAGGCCTTCTTTACGTATAATGTGACCCATGAACTTCAACTGCCTAATCAACATCTCATGTTTCATTTTCCTTTGCACTCCACCTCGTGTAAGAACTTCCTCATTACTAAATTTGTCAGTCCAGGGGATTTTCATCATTCTTCTTAAAAACCACATTTCACAACTTTCCAAACGCTTTTTAGTATCAGAGGCTAAAGTCCATGTTTCACTACCATACATAAGTACTGGATAGATGTAACAATGATACTCTTATTCTGGTCCTCATACAAGTACAACACATGAATCTTTTTATACAATGATATTTATATAATTCATGCAATTCTGGGTTTGAAACAGTGTTCTGTAGAGTGCCTTAGGGATCCCTACTTGGCCCTCTTTAAAAAAAAAAATTATTAATGATCTCCGTCTCTCTTTCTCTTTATCAGCCGTTGTCAATTCACTGCAGGATGAAGGCCTCAGCATGATGTTTCCAAATGCCTCTGTTCAGCGCCTGTTGGTGCCAATTTGTCTGTCCCCAGAACCGTTGCAGCTCGTCTCGCCATCTTTTTCTTTGACGTCCCCTGTTTTGTTTTCCCTCATATGGTGTCCAGTGAGTGATTGCTGAGCTCCAGCGATTGTCATTCCTACGGCTGATGTGGCCCGCCCAATTCCATTTCCTTCTCTTCACTGTTTCAAGGATGTCCTGGACTTTTGTCTGTTCCCTGATCCATTTGTTTGTTTTTCTGTCTTTGTATGTGATGCTTAGAATACTTCTTTCCATGTTGTGTTGCGAGGCTGCTAGCTTTCTTTCCCTTTTTGAAGTTAGCGTCCATGTTTCTGCAGCATATGAGATTGCTGGGATGATGCACTGGTTATATACTTTCTTTTTCAGGCATAATGGGAGTTTGCCTTTCATAAGGGTGCTGTACCTGCCAAAGGCTCGCCATCCAGCTTTGATTCTTCTTCTTATTTTGTTGTCTTGATTTTTGTCTTGGAGGGAGAAACGTTGCCCTAAGTATATACTCCTCTACTTGCTCCATTTTGGTACCGTTCACTTGGATTTGTTTTGGATCTTTGGCTGATCCTGCCATGACTTTAGTCTTCTTCATGTTCATTTTGAGGCCTGTTAGTCGGCTTGCATCGTCCAGTTCTTGCAGCATTATTTCGAGGTCGTTTAAGTTGTGAGATATGATGACAATATCGTCTGCAAATCTCTGTCTATGTTCGAATAATTCAAAATTTGGTATTTTTGCCGATGATACAAATATATTTATTTGTAACAAAGATTTAGGTTATTTGCATTGCAATACAAACATTGAAGTTAGTAAAGTCCAGGAGTCGTTCTCTGTTTATAATTTAGCTTTAAATATTCAGAAAACAAACTATGATTATCAGGAGAAATAATATTGACAACAAATCTTTTAAGTGTATTAATTGATAATACTGAGGTACAGAAAGCTGAAACTATTTAATTTCTTGGAATTTATAGAGATGATAATATAAAATGGAAAAGCCAAGTCAATAAAATAATTTCCCATATTTCTAAAAACATTGGTGTATTAAATAGGCTACATGAATTTGTACCCCTAAAATACATTGCTACAGTTTTATAACACCTTAAAATTACCATATTTGCCTCAAATTTTGGGGATCTTCTAATAAATTTGTATTAAACAGAATTATTATCTTATAGGAAAGACGAATTAGAATGATTTCTCATCCTGATTTAAGGGCACATATTACCACACTATTTCAAAATTTAATATATGAACTATATGATTATAATCCAGGTAGTTTTATGTATTCATATTACCGTATACAAAATTATTACCATTTAGCTTTCACTTTTTGTTTAGTAGAAATTTCTACATTCACAATAATAATACAAGGATAAATCTGATTATCCTATTGGATGTGGAAATCCTCCTTGTCTCGGAAATCACTATCTCACAATGGCCCTGTATTCTGGAATAATTCACTGGAAAATATTTAAAATTCTTAATCCTTTAATATATTCCAATCCAAACTTAAAAATTACCTTCTACCCAATATTTAATACTTCCATTAATTAATTTACCTATATTGAATTGTTGTTATTATTTATTAATTTGTTTTGTTTTCCTTTCCTATATGAATTATACATTTATTAATACAAATATAGGGTTATGTTGTCAATTCCTCACCTTTTATTACCCCCCACATATATAATTAATGTATTGAATAATTACCATGTGTATCGTGTATAGTGTTTTGTTATTTTGTATGGAAATGTGGAAATAAATCAATTCAATTTAATATATAAAAGGAGAAAAAAACTTTTGTAATTCTTTGCTCTTTCAAGACTGTCCAGACTGTCAAGTATGACGATATACGCAGAGGACACCGTTGGATAAAGTCCTTTATCTTGAACCTGAGAAGCCAGACAGATGTAGAGGTAGTAGTGCCCCTGCAAGTAGGTCAGAAAGAACGATCACTGAAAGAACTACTTTGTTTGTTAAAGTTTCCAACTCCTCACAGATCGACCAGTCTTCCAACTCATGGCCTAGGTATTCATATTTGTGTGACAAAGCTGGTATGATTTTTAACAATAGCTATTAATGCAATATGTAGTCATATTCCCCCAGTGCAATATTATTGTATGTAATGGATTCTGTTCTCTTTGGCTATGAAAGGTGATTTGTGATTTGTTCATCATAGATTTGGGGAGGAAAAATTCCTCAGTACATCTAGATGGTCCAATACCACACTGATAATGCTGGAAAATATATTCATACAAAATCCAACAAAACTTACACTGAATGTTCAAGATTACAAATAAATTACATGTGTCGAACAGAGCATAAGAAGATATTGGAATCAAGGTAATTAAGAAGGTCCGTCACCACATGTCACTATATGTGCAAATGAGAGTTGTGATTTTTATTGAAGGTCATTTCCAACAAGTTTTTGTGAGGTTACTTTTTATGTTACTGATTCAAACAATCAATCTACTGCAGGATAAACAAACCAGAATGAATTATAGCCATGTTCTCTCAACATAAGATGCCCATACCAGAGTTCAAGATTAGTTTCAATCAATTTAAGCTGTTTTCGTCCTTCATATATTTTTGTATAAAGCAAATCAGCCTTTACATCAGATACATGTATTTTGTCTGGAGCCATGAAGGTGTTCAATCTATGTTAAATATGGGAGTTAAACCAGGCTTGAAAAATTTTCAAGGAAATTTCTTCCATCCTTATGAAACTTCATAATGTTTGCGAGATAAAAAGCCAAGGAGCATTATTTGTCATAATCTAATTTTATATGCACTGTAAAATATGATCACCTTTTTGATAGTAAGAATCACTTTCAAGTTCCTTATACAGCAATTTGTTATTTGACTGGTACTCTTTTCCTGATTTGAAAAATTGCAGAACCATTGCAGGGTGCATCAACTTCACAGCCACAGCAAGCATCACATCAAAGTACTGTGGAAACTCTAGAGTAAGTTATGATAATTTCTTTCACCTGTAATACTATCAGCATGGTTAGGAGACTCAGACTGAGATCAGAACATGTGCAGGTGTAAACCTGAAATCACTAATGTATTTGGAGGAGGGACGGGCAAGGGGCAGTTTGGCCCCCAACAAATTTGAAAAAAAGAAAGAATAATAATCAGCTATATTACATATATAAATTATTGCAAGGTAAAGGATAATCAAATTGCTGCAAACACTGCATGCCTAGAGTGTTGACATTATGTTATTAAATATTTTTTGCTCGGTTGCAATGTAAGTTTGCAATTAATAACAAAATATGAATAAATGAAGAGAAGGGTGAAAACTGGGCTCACATATCGTATTTAAAGCCAAATAGAGATAATTGAAATCTGTCAGTATGCTATGAATTAAAACCATAATTGGATATCGCTTTTGCTAATGGTGCACGTGATAACACATCAAAAATCGAAATCCTAACATTTCAAATTGGGCAAGAAAATGTAACAATAATAATTTGGATTCATATAGTGCTAATAATTAATACAAAAAACATCTCCAAGCACTACAGATATCACGTGTATAGCAATTGGCTACAATTTTTTCCATAACACCCTCCCTTCCTGTTGTCAGTACATGTATTATACTTAAATGTTTTTGTTTTAATATGATTTATTTAAGAAACATTTCAGGTAGACAGGAAGACTTTGACGAAAAGCTGACCACTGTTGCTCGAAAAGTTGTCAAGCATGTAGAGATATATAAACTCGGGAAGGGTCTCGGCTTTGAACCAGAAGATATTGAACGTTATGTCGACACAAACGTGAAGAATCAACATATATCATACATGGGTACACTGTCAATGCTCCATGACTGGAGAAAGAAGCAAACCAAGGCAACAGAGTGTGAAGCCTTGAAGGATATTCTAAGGAAGGTTGGTCAAATTCGTCTCGCTGATGAGCTATTTTGTACTTTATGAGATGTGAATTATGCTTCTTTATTGAGGACTACATTGTTCCAATGATATATATACATATTTGATTTGATTTGATAAGGTTTTATTCGAATATTCAACAATACAGCTGGAGGCTGATACAAGTGAATTTACAAGGTAAAAATAATTCCATATACATAAAAATATAATTATATGCTTTAACATATATGAAAGTATAATGTCTGTGTAGCTTAATCAAAGTTCCCCATTGGTGCCTTGATGTACAAAGTAACATTTCTAGGATCTAAAATAGCACATCAAACTTTAAATATCTACCCTTTACATTATATTCAGTACCGGTACATTCTTTCAAACCTATGCAGTTACCCGTTAACTACTGATTTTCACTGAAATTCACTGAAATTCACTGCCTCCCATACGCTTAACACAGGGACCACTTGGTTCCAGTAGACGATGATTTACATGTTGCTCATGAATTAATATGTTTGTTTATTTCGATTGCTATTCTAATGATATTTTGTTTTGCATAAATTTGTATGTAGTGTATTATTTGTAGGAAAATATTTTCAACATGATGCTTTATAGATATTTTTATATATACATGTGTTTATACGTTTTTTCTTCTGAAATATGAATTATTAATATGAAATTAAACATTGCTGCACTTTGAAGTGAAGTCATGAGTAATTGCATTGGCTTCAAAAGTATCATGCATGCTTCTGTACTTTAATAAGCCCGATCTAAGATGATATAATTCACTTGTTAGTACTTAAAACATGATCACAAATAATTTGGAGAAATCAACTCGGTAGAAATTAACTCAAGAGCAACTTTAACACCCCTTCTATTGCCCATAGAAACAGCCATTTTCATATTATGTAATATGTCATTCAAATGTTCACACACTTCAATCCGATGGACAAGAATAATAAAATTGTCTTATGTTGATTATCTGAAAGTTTTTGCGATCATACTTTTAACTGAAGTACTAGAATTCAATATTAATACATGTAAATCTAATGTGCCTTTTGACCAAACCAAAGTTCACATTCCTGTCAATGTTTATACAAGGGAATTCATGTTGAATTTGCTATATGATGGTATCTACACAGGTACATGTATATAAATGTATTTGCAAGTTGTGATTGCTGCTTTTATTTTATAATTATTTCATAATTAATGGAATCCTGTATTTGCTGCAACTTTTTAAACTAAAGAGATCATAGCTTGCCCCCTTTTTTCCTCCAAAAGGACAGCACGCCTCCAGGCTTTTTTTTTAGGCGTGGCTTGAAACTGTTTTTAATGTACAACACAATATTATTAACTCTTCAATATTTCTTTTATCACAATTTTTATTGCAATAAAACAGCAATTTGAAGAAGTTTACAAACATTATTTCATAAATCGTCTAAGACTTATGTTGGACAACTTCACAATATTAAACGAGAAAAATATTCATGATAGTAAGTGCCATTTGATGAATATTCAATCCATAGGCGAATGAGAAGGCTTTATGTTTGTTAAGTGTCAGACACCCCCCATATATTTTCTTGTACAGCTAAAGAGTACTCTGTCCTGATTAGAAAGGGTCTTTAGTCATTCAAACTATAGAAATTATCTTCATTGTTTAAAGAAGCCTTGTTTCATTGTAATACAAAGTAACTGAATTATGTGCATTGATTGCTTGCCAGCTGAACAGTAGTCTTTCTTGATTGGATTTTAAGAGTTTTAATAATCGTTGTGAGCTAGAAATTGTTTAAATTTTAAAAAGAAGACATTTTTTTCATTGAAAAAACAAGATCCATGCTCATTGATGGCTATATTGCTAGTCTTCTAACTCTTGATTGTCTCATCTAGTCTCTCTATTGACATTGATTAATTGATTGTAAACTATACATGTATAGGTTGAATAACTACATCTTACTGATGGCAATACCAAGAATTTTTTTTTAATGATATGTAAATTGTTCAAATGATTCATTGCTTTCCATAGTTGTGTGAGAAAATAACACAAGGAAATCAGATCTTATACAATCTTTAAAAGTATGTTCTTGTATCTTTTTATTTCTGTTGTCTAGGACATTTTTGTAAATCGTGGAAGAGAAGCAGGAGGAAGAGGAAAAATAGGAGAGAAAATGTCTCAATTACTCGTTACCAATTCCAAGATTAAAGATGAAGCTATTGAAATGAGTGGTGTTTTGGAGAGAAACTTTGAATTGATTCACAATTGTGACTTGTTGAGCAACGTATAGAAGAGAGTGATGTAAGAGATCCTGTCGAGCAAATCTATAGAAGAGAGGAAGAGATGTGTGTCAAGAAAACAGATTCTTAAATGTTGAGGACGTTTGACATGAGTGATATTTATTCATCATCCTTTTTCTTTAGTTCCATTAAATCACATAATTCTCTAGTTTTACACTTTCATTACCCATCTCGTCTCGCATGTAATGTAGCATTCCCCTCTTGAATCTCTTGATCTTCTATCTCTATTATATTTTGTCAGCTCTCCTTTCACATTCTTCATACATGCCTTTGTGTATATAAGTCAATTTATTATTTTACCTTTTTTTCCATTTCGATCGATCTGCACATCTCAACCCATTCTAAACAAAAAAGACACATACATACATACATGATAACTTTGAGTATATATGTGCACATGTATTTGCTTTGATATAAATATTATTGATGCATGTCAACAATGTACACACTCGCGTTGAATAAGTAACCCAGAACTTGTCTCGTTAGCCGCGGTGTGGTAAATATTATAATTATAATAACGAGGGAGCATATAATCGACCGAACAAGAAAACCTTTGGATTATAGGGAAATATAGAGCCATAAGCATGTGTTGTAGTTTTAGCTATTTAAACGGTATAGTATATTTTATTTTTAATTTCCCTTTTTTTGGGGGGGGGGGGGGGCATTTGACTTCCCCAGTTTGATCATGGCCCCGGATCATATGGCAAGCATTATAGGAAAAAGATCTGGTTGCGCATGAGAATTTAGAGGAGCTCCCCCTCCTACTGTTTGAAAATTAAGAACAAATCCAATCATATTTTTTATAGGAGGAAATGTTGGTCATTTTATGTGCAAGGTTTGTTCTAATAATATTCATGATATATAGGCATACATTTTCATAGAGATCTAGATAAAATCGGTCAATGAATAGCGCCACCAGCGTCAACAGAAGGAGGCTCAACGAAAGGGAATTCCCCGACCGCGATTGAAATGATCAGTGGGCCGTGCAGACTAGACACGAGTACGCGAGGCGATCGAGGTAATATAATCAACTTCTCTACTCTAGATTTTGTACAGTTGAATTTTACCGTGTACGTTTTTCTTGCTAATCCGTCGATCCTGAATGTGAATCATTTTCTGACGCTGAAGAGTTATGGCGGGGGTAAGGGCAAACAATAACATTCATTCTCTGATTATTAGTGTTCATTTTGTTGTCCACTTTAAAAATGTTTGACTTAGTTTCTCTGGAAATAACCATATGATATAGAGTGATAGAGTCTACACATAGTCTATCAATTCATTCTCTCACATTATGTCGATTGTCGTGTGTTTGTGAGAGTGAACCTTATGATACCACGTCACATTCGATCACCTTCTCCTGGCTTCTCACATATTTGAAAGGTGTGAAGCCAGCGCCAGGAGAAGTATTTAATTGCTGCCTTAATTGTCCCACACATATGTGCATTACAGTACAATCCTAACTGTGTATTAATTAGCTGTGCTATTGATTCTCAACATTTCAAACACATGTACAACTATACAAAAATCAACCGATTTCACTAAAAATTAGTAGACCTAGACTACTTTAGTGACGATTGATGACACGTACCTAAAGAGCATTAAAATACAATTTTTCACCTTTCCGATGTTAGCTAGAAAGAATAATTCAAAAATTCAAATTGTGAGTCTACTCTAAGTCAAACTTGCCATTCAGCCGCATCGGCATGGTTGTGTGCATCTGTGTGTTATGAGTGCAGTAAAAAAAAATAAAAAAATCAAAGGGTGGGGTTTTGCTCCAAAATACACACATACAAAAAAATGAAGGGGGGGGGGGGTTCAACCTCGCCCCCCCCCCCCCCCCCCCCCCCCTGTGTACGCGCCTGTATGAGCGTATTGACTATTCATGTACCGGGTATTCAAATGTTGCCTGGTAACACGTAGTGCAGCGCTAGAGGTTAATTAGACCAAAAGATTCAGTCTCTCTATATCGTCGGTTGTTCCACTGAGACTACGTCTGGCTCCACTAGACCTCCGATTATGGAATGACGACAAATATCAGTTTTTATTAAAGAATGGCCCATACCAGACGGTTATTTCTGTCTAGAGGTCAATATGCATTAGTATTGCCTCTCTATGCTTTGCTGGAGTGCCTTGCATGTCCATGCACACAGCATTTATTAGTGCTGTGGCTTAATTATTTTTTCAGGTGGAACACATGGCCGGTATTGATGAGAAGCTGCTAGCTAAGCTGGGCAAGGAAGGTCTCGGAAACCACGATAATGTTCCAAAGTTAGGCCGAGAATTGGGATTTAACCAGACGCAGATAAGTTTATACATCGAGACAAACTATAGCGGTGGCCGGGTAGGCACCAAAGGGACGGTGAAACTCCTCTTTGACTGGAAAAAGAACACAACGAAGGCTCGGCAGGTTTCAACATTGAGGGCAGCACTCATAATGGCGGGATTTGAAGGTCTTGCTGAGGAATATTTTCCAGGTAGGCCTTCTATTTGTGGTATTTGAAATAACATGTAATTATTTTAATGATGAAAACTTCCTTACCGAACTTATTTTAGGAGGTGCAGTATAATAAGTATGTGGCTCAGCTAGCGGTAGACCAAAAATTATTGTCTCTTTCGTTTGTTAGCCTCTTATTTGGTTAGAGTCGGCTCCTCTCTTTAGAGACAGAAACTGCCCATAGGATCTCCTGTGCAACCGTGGCCATTTATGGCCACAAAACTGTGCCCAAAATACTAAATTTTAGCGGATTCATATCCAATGCATTTATTTTTGAAAAATTAGGCCCAGGCTAATATACATCGTTTCCACTTTCCATATTGACTGTATGATGTGTTTAAAGGTCATTTTTCCCAGATTTTCACGGTCAAAATTGAGCTATGTGTTAAAATTCTTGCAGCCGTATTTTTAACTATAACTGCGCATGAAGGAAGACGACGTCATCCATTGACAGTTAGGGTTTAAAATACGGCTGCAAGAATTTCTAGGTTACTTGCAGTCACTAAAGCAGGTTGACTGTCCTTATTCTGATTACAGGCTACATGTATTCTGTTGTTTATTTTCTTTACAGAAATTTCAAGTCATCCAACAGACGATTCATCACCAGATTTAACATCCACCTCTTCCACACCTGACCTGATGGTTACAGCATCACAACCCATGCCTGACCTCATATCTAGTACATTGCCTTCCTCACCAAACCCAGGAACGGCTTCAGTTGATGGTCAGACCGCCAATCCTTCTGTCGATTCTGCCTCTGACCAACCACAAAGGTAAGAAGTGTCTCAGGCCCGACGGTGTCACATCATTTTCAAGGTGTAGCATGTGACCGTTGGCAGAATTTAAAAACTGACCACACACTTTGAAGAGCCTTTTCCACAACTTATGATCTTTTTTGTGTGATAACAATCAAAGGCTTGTGATATAATTGTAATCTTCCCTCAAGCAATCAGCTTTATTGGGTGCTAATGATCCAGTACACTTCTCAATGTATATTGTTTGTAATTTTGTATGAAATAATATCTTGAATTAAATCTTATCAATGGGTGGATTCACAATTTACACTGCCCTCACCGACAAGCTGAAACAGGCCAATTATTCAGCTTGCCGGTTACCATCTTTCAACCAGTGCAGTGCATTAACATTTTAACAACACATCAAAATGACCAAAAGGGTCAGAATTATTGTAAATTCATTCAATGAGATTTATTTTTCTGATTTCACCACACATTTTGATATTGAATTTGGATGTCAAAACCCACCCATACTTGATTCTGACCAAAAATTTGGACTGATATTGATGACAAATCAATGCAAATGGTCATTTGGGGCCAATTAAAAGTGCACAAAATGATCACATTGTTGAAGGCGGTCGTCAATTTGACTACTATTTCTAGCATAAGGGCATATCATCCAATAGCCTCAAACTTGGCCTTTGGAATGCACGTTCCATGACCAATAAAACACACGCAATTACTGATTTGATTGTTGAACATGATCTAGATGTTCTAGTCATCACCGAGTCGTGGCTCTCTGGAGACAGTAAGAGGGATGGTCTCATATTAGCTGATCTAAGATCTGGTTTGCCTAATTATGATTTCACCCATCGACCCCGGTTATCTTCCAAGGGCGGTGGGATTTTGCTTCTCTATAGATCCACGGCTCGCTGTACCTTGAACAACAACAATGATTTTGCATCTTTTGAATTACTGGATGTCACACTCAATCTGACACCTTCATCTGCTGTACGGTTGTACTGTATTTATCGACCACCCCCGTCTGCCAATAATAATCTCTCCAACGGCACATTCTTGGATGAATTTCCAACTCTCCTTGAAGGTGCTGTTGTAGATGATCATTTTCCTCTATTATTGGGTGATTTCAACATACATGTTGATGATCCCAATGATAATTTTGCAAAATCTGTTATGACATGTGTTGATTCGTTAGGGTTCAAGCAACATGTTCGTGAACCAACCCATCGCGCAGGTCACACTCTAGATTTGATTTTCACAAGGAATTCGGATGATGTCTGCAACGTGAACTCGCTATCTTCCATGCCTTCCGACCATTGTGCACTTGTCACCACTGTCAATATCGCAAGGCCGAAGAATCCCAAGAAAGAGGTTTCCTTCAGGAAATATCGCAGCATTGACAAGGACTCTCTACGCAACTCTATTGACACAATGTTCCATTCACTTCCTGATCTATCTTGTCCATCTGCTTCCGCGGAGCATTACAACTCATCTTTGCGGACGTTGATTGATGAGCACGCTCCAATCCAGGTCAAGACTGTATCAATCAGACCTGATGCACCATGGTTTACCGATGATATCCAGGAAGCCAAGAGGCGAAGGCGTCGTGCGGAACGTCGTTCGATCAAGTCTGGACTTTTTGTTGATAGAGAGCTGTACCGCCGTGAATGCGAGTCATATTATGAGTGCATCTTCAATGCGAAGTCAGCGTATCTCAAAGATCTCATCAAGAATGCTGACACTAAAGAACTGTTTCGTCTTGTGAAGACACTCTCAACGCCCACTCAATCTTCACCTCTTCCAGATCATTCTTCTGATAGTGAACTCGCCAACAGATTTGCTACATTCTTGAGGGAAAAAGTCGCCAAAGTTGTATCCTCTTTCCCTAATGTAGTACCAGCACCAGCTTCAAGATCTTTTGCTCCAGGCCCTCGTCATGAACTCTCTGATTTCTGCCTTGTATCCCTCTCACAAGTCAGGAAGCTCATCACTTCACTTCCTTCTAAACACTGTAAGCTAGATCCGATTCCTACCTGGCTTCTAAAGGAAGTCCTCGATGAACTCCTTCCTCACATAACCAAACTGTTCAATCTCTCGTTATCATCCGGAATAGTTCCAGAGTCTTTTAAGACTTCTCTGCTTCTTCCCCTCCTAAAGAAGCCGAGTCTCGACACGAATGGACTTAAGAACTACAGGCCCATCGCAAACCTGCCATTCCTTGGGAAGGTTTTGGAACGTATTGTGTCACTACAGCTGAAAGCCCACATTGACAATCTCGGTTTGTTTCCAATCCACCAATCTGCCTATCGGAATCATCATTCTACTGAGACTGCAACTGTCAAGGTCCTAAATGACCTACTTCTAGCTGTAGATAAGGGTAATGAAGCTGTCCTCATCTTGCTTGATTACACTGCCGCATTTGACACTATCAACCACGACCTGTTACTCCATCGCTTAGAGAACGACTTCTCCATCACCGGCACCGTACTTCAATGGATTCGCTCCTATCTCATGCACCGAACTCAGAAGGTGATCATCAATGACACCAACTCGGAATCATTTCCCCTCATCTGCGGCGTTCCTCAGGGTTCCGTGGTCGGCCCCCTCCTGTTTATTCTTTACACCAGCCCTCTCTCAAATGTTATTAACCTTCATCAGAATATTCAACACACTATGTATGCAGACGACACCCAGATTTATGTAACTCTTCACCCAAACAGCAGGACAGTAGCCGCGAACAAACTCACCAGTTGCCTCAATGAAATCAAAACCTGGTCTTTTCAAAACTGTCTCTGCCTTAATGATTCAAAATCTGAAATGATTCATATTACTTCTAAATTTCGGAACTCAGACCCCTTTCCTGATCTTGTTATGAGTGATGGCTCCCTCAGTTGTTGTGCTTCTGTGCGTGACCTTGGTTTAAATATTGACAGCAATCTTACTTTCAAACAACACATTAGTAATATTTGTAAGTCTGCTTCCTTTGGTATATATAAGATCAGTAGAATCAGGAGGCTACTTGACCGACCCACAACTTCAAAATTAGTCCATGCTTTTGTCTCGACCCATATCGATCACTGTAATTCTTCTCTTTCTGGCCTCCCTCAGTCACATCTAGTCCCACTTCAAAGGGTACAGAATAGCGCTGCTCGGCTTGTGACTCTCTCGCGTAAATCAGAGCACATAACTCCAATATTGAACTCACTACATTGGCTTAAAATTCACCACCGCATATCCTTCAAAATTCTTCTCCTGTGCTACAAAGCTATCAATGGCTTAGCCCCCTATTACCTTTCCGATCTCATATCCTTACGTTCCCGTACGTCGTCACGAACACTTCGTTCATCTTCCACATTACTGTTAACACCTGGACCCCGCACTAACACCCGGTATGGTGACCGCGCCTTTTCAGTTATTGCCCCCGCTCTCTGGAACAAACTGCCCGCCTTTATTCACTGCGCCCCCTCTGTATCTCAATTCAAATCTCTACTCAAAACCTATCTTTTCAAATTGTAAATTGCAGTTGTGCGTCGGTCAATGGAGGTGCGCACCATATTTGTCTTTATTTAGTTGATTGCCACTGTTTTTCTTACCTTATCTATGTTACTTTTGTATTTTTGCTTTTTCTTCTAATTTAATTCTACGGGTTATAGTCTTCTCTTAATCAGAACACTGTGCGCTTAGAAACATCAGTATTAAGCGCCTAATAAATGTTATGTATTATTATTATTATTATTATTATTTTTAAAACAAAATAGGCCAATCACATCTCCTGTGCTGATAATAATGATTGGAAAAATTACCACTTTTTGAAGATGGCCATGCAGATCTCGCCAAAAAGTGGCCAAAATTACTAAAAGAGCTTGAACAAGGTCAATAAGATATGACATATTTTGGAAACCGTGCATAATTTTACCCTAGTTAATTAATTAAATCTTCCCAACCCTAAATTCTGATTAAATCCCATGATCTTCTAGGGTATATATATAAAAAAAAGCCACAACAGATACAATGTTGAAATTGACTAAACACTGGTGTCGCTAGATGGCACTGTGGATTTTGTCTGCAGTTTGTCACTCTCTCAAAAAATACACTTTTATTCAAATCCAAAATCAAAGAACATACCAGACTGTTTTTTTCTTCATATAATAATAATAATATTTACAGTGCTTATATATAGCGCCTAACACTTACTTTGTCAGAAGTCTCTTAGCGCTCTACAATAATGCAGCATAATTACCCTGGCTTTAGCAGTGCAGCTGTTATGCGCGCTGTGTTTCAAGGAATAAATTCCTACCAGGTACCCATTTACTTCACCTGGGTGGAGTGTGGCAAATGTAGATCAATGTCTTGCCAAAGGACATTAGTGCAGCTGCGGGACCCGAGCCGCTGACCTTGTGATCGACAGTCCGGCGACGTATCCATTCTACCACAACAGTGCTTCAACAGTGATATGTTTGAGAACTCCCCCCCCCCCCCCAAAAAAAAATACAAATTTTTATGTTAAATTTGTAACTATCATTTATACACAAACTCAATGGCATTATATACTATCAGGGCATAAGGAAATAGCGGCGTATCTTTTCCTTCCTTTCCTTCTGTGGATGGCAAACCCAGCCCAAGAATTTGAGTGTTGAACAAAGTATTTTGAGTAATAATGGTCGCTCTTTTCATCATTTTCAACATAAATCCCTGTTACAGCCCTAACCCCATCTATAATCTTTTGCCAAAAAGAAGCCTATAGCATATATCAATGAGGTATGTGTGGCATCGCCCCTATATTATGTATTCAAAAGTTTTGGAACCATTTCTTGACCATCTGCCAGTCTCCTAGCCTTCTCTTCTCTTACAGATAATATACTGTGATGATACTGATATCTTCTGCATTCTTGCAGGCATTGAGTGTTGGCATCCATGTACAATGACATTGGATAAAAGTGTATCAATAACAATTTTCCTTTTCTTTGTTTTCCCCCCTCCTTCTCTATGTTTACGACCATAGCTCAGGAGCTGGCAGTATGGCAACCATTACAGGAAAGCAAATAATATTCCTGTCTCAAAGCATTCTTCCATCCTGCTACAATGTTTTCTGCACTCATCTCGGCTTTGAATTTGCGATATTTGACGGTGTGAAATCTCAGAAACTCAACGACATTCCTGCTGCCTTGGTTGATATCCTCAACAGATGGGCAGCGAATACAGAAGGGCTTCTCTCGGATCTTGACAAAGCTCTTACAGCAGCAGGGTGCACTAGACTGGTATATATGTACAAAGACAAATAGACAATCCACAATTGTAGGAGGTGCTAATTAGTTCTAGGTAGTGAAATGTGTTATGTAGGGCAGGGGTTCTCAAACTTTTTCCTTGGAACACCTGGAGGGTGTTTCACAAAGATCCTAAGTCAAACTTAACTCTCAGTTACATTTAAAAACTATGGAGAGCCATTTGTAGCCTTAAAATAAAATATATTCAAAAGCAAAAATTTAAGGATTTTAGACTTTTCATATATTCCACATCAAGGACATGAAATCTCCTTGATAATAGAAAATATGAAAGATTTGAATCAACATTTTATGCTTTTTACAATAATTTAACAAAATATTTTCCAAAGATGCTAATGGATTTCCATAATTGTTAAGTCCAACTTAGAGATGAACTCACCTTAGGATCTTTGTGAAACACCCCCCCCCCCCAGGGCCTTGTTGCATAAACTGTACCATTGATGGTAACTTCTGTAGAAACCTTGATTTGATTGGCTTTTGAGTGATGATGCCATGGTAAAATGATGGCAAAGTTACCAACAGTGGTAAATTCAATGCAAAAGGCCCTGATGTGATTTCTGTGAAAGCTAAAATGCCGAAACATGGGATGCCATTGTGAAAATTCCTAAAGAGATGGTTCATTGATTTAAAAATAACTTTAATGTCATTATTGCAAAGGTGACACTTTGATTGGCCAAGGTTATCAAAAGCCAATGCTTGGAAACATTTGAAGTAATGATTATTAACAATTACAAAACGCTTAGATACAGCCCCGACATAGCACCTGAAAAGCTCTACGGTCGCGGCTGAGAAATGACGTCACATGTTGAACATGATGTGCACAAGCAGACGATGTCCCATGACATCTCACACAATTTCAGTGCCAGTTTTGTCATCTTTTCTTCAGTTATTTCTCTTACTTCAATACCCTCAGACGAAATGTGTTAATCTGTTGCCTCACTCTACACCTGTGCATGGTATTAAAAAAAAAGTAATCCGTCGCTTGTAAACAAAATAAGACGCCATTGTATTTTCAGCTGCATACACCGCAGCATGTTTGGAGTTTCAAGAGGGAACAAATGATGCCAATGCTATCATTCCGGAGGTTTTGTAATTTGAAAGTGTGGTTTCTTTGATTGTTCATTAACCCCTATCCTGTGTAATTACAAACAAAAGAATTTAGTTATCAGAATGGGGGTCATATCCCTTTTTGAATGGTGTAAAATTCCATCACATTGATATACACTAAACTCATCATAATTCGAGAAATAAAAGCATTGCAATTATGTTTATTCTTTATGGGATGTCATCTGCTTGGGCAGGGTTGGTTCATATTATGACGGCATTAAAACATCGTTATTTTTCCGGCGAATCTCTCACTTCTCCCAAATGCCGTAGAGGTTGTTTTATTTGTATTTTTATAAATCAAACGATATGTAGTTTACCTAAATCTTGCATGATGGACATCTGTTAGCTTACCAGTTTGTAGTAATACAATATTTGCCATATTTGTGATTTTCTATGAACCCGCACTTTAAAGTCATTTGAATACGTCAAATGAAGTAGAACAACGTACTATTAATTGCCAGAAAGCTGGACACGACTCAGACATTACTCAATGTTTGTTTCAGACTCAGACAATCTACTCCTCAAATTTACAGTAATGACACATGTAATGCTAAAGAAAATGAGGCTTGTTTTAGGTCTATATCTGATCAGAGGAATCATTACCATTACAACAAATGAAAGCAGAGCCTCCCAGGTGGTCTTGATTGGCATGCCCTATGGTCCGGACTCTTATCTGCTATGGATTGGAATCCTAGTCTGCCAGATGGTTTTGAAAGGTACATACACATTGTACTTGTGACAAAAGTTGAATGTGGCAATCCAATAGTCCAAGCAGTTGAATAGTTAAAGCAGAGCACCCACCTTGCATCAGATCTGTGTATCAGAGTTAGGGTTAAGGTGAGGGTAACATCGGTGAGGATTATCATTGGGATTAGGGTCTGGATCGTAAAAGTGTCGTAGTTGAGTGGTTTAAACACTTGACCTGAAATTCAAGGCATTAATTTCCATTTGCCACTCTAGACCCAGGTGAGTTTAATGGGTACCTGCATGGCAGGAATTAATTCCTTTATATGCTGGAGCGCTGTAATGGCAGCTAGGCTAAAACCGGGGTAATAATTAATACGCCTCGGAATAGAATTTCTAGATAGACGGCGCTATAGAAATGCCTATATATATATAATAATAATAAAATATTATGGGTGGATCGTAGGCCGGGTCATATTTTAGGGTTAGGGTTAGGCCTTAGTGTCATGGTTAGGTTAGGGTTAAGGTTTGGTTACTGTTAGGATTAGCATTACGTCCTACAGTCAGTGTTTGGATGAGTTATAGGGTAAGGCCCTAGGGTTAGGGTTCGGGTCACGTTTACATGGGGTATTCAGTTGCAATTTTTTCCAAGTGAAGTGATCCTGCTCTATCTTAAGCCTTGTTCCCTTACATGTATGCTGCGGTAAACTGAGGCAACAATCTTTTCTTTTATTGTCTCCCTTGAGTGGTCTTTTTATGCAGGCTTCTCTGTATCTCATGAAACCATGACTTTAAAGGTACTATGTCCCATTTGCAGGCCCCAAAAATGAAAAAGTTAAATTCCAACGGCATTTGAAAGTAAATAGTAATTTAGGACTTCCCTAAATAAAGGAGGGCTTATAAATGTCTTTATGTGGGAAAATAACGACTTTTAGCTAGTTGTCAAATTGACTTAAAAGCTATAGAGCCAGTAAGTAATAGTCTGATTTTCAGACCAGTGTATCGAATGGTCGTACTTTTTATGCTGCGCAAAGATTCAATCAGTTTAATTTTGGCCATTACAAGAAGTGGGTTATTGATGTAGACAAATGCTCATGTACCCTTTACAGTTCATTTTATATGTGTTAATACCAAAGAAGAAAAAAAGCCAGTCAGTCACTCAATATAGTGTCTGACAGTGAAGTCTAGCAAGCAACGGGTTTCCTTGCATAATTTGAATATTAGGACACTGCTAATTACGTTTAGATTTCACAGAAAGGACATACATGACATATTCATAATTCCTGCAAAGTTCTAAAGAATATGATATTGGCTGCAAAAGAGACATTGTATCTTTAAGATGGTAACTGACTAACAGACAAGCCATCTTAATAACTAACTAACTAACCAAGTAAGTAAGTTATCATTTTATATTATTATAATATCTATGGTGAACATTATATGGAAGTGAGGAGAAGGTAATTAACTGTAATTTCGAAGCTTTTGATTGTCTTATTTTCACCAATATGCTCTTAAAATGAATGAACATTTTTTCAATTTTGATTGCAGCGATGGGAATCATTTGTCTACATTTAAAAAATATGATGCAACATCCATGAAGCTTATTATCATAATGATGTTAATTACAGTTATGAGTAATTAAACACATATTTTGTTGTGTTACTATTCTTACTTTACTAAAATCGTATGTTCTTACAATATAAAAGAGAAAATGTGGGGAGTACTATTGTGTCTTCTTGAAAAATGCAATAAATCAATTCAATGATCCACTTTATTTTGGGAATATGATGGAATAAGTATAACAGAACCGATGTCTTTCATTAATGCCTTATTGGTAAGCAAACAGTTTTTAAATCAGGATTTGATTCATTTTCTTACATTTTTAAAATGCAAATCTTGCAGAAATACAACTGTATATTCAAACTGGATTGCAATAGACTTGTAATTACGTGTTACTTTAATAACATGTATCCTATGTTTTGTTAAAGGTATGTCCCATTTGCAGGCCAAAAAACACACAAAAGTTTGAATTCCAACGTCATTTGAAAGGTAATACTCATTTAGAACTTAATTTAGACGCATTTACATTTGTTTAAATGTTATATATATTATGTAAATCGTGAATGCTTAAATCTAGTTTTAATCAATACAAAACTATACTGAATATAGATTTTTTTTTTATTATTAATAGATATATAGTTTTTATGAATGGTGTAAGAAATGATTTATTACTAAAATGGTAGCAGATTTCCAAATTCTGTATTTTCTCCTTTTCATGTGCAGTAGAGATGTTTGGGTATGTATACATATTTATCGTTTTATGTATGTAGCTTTAAAAAAAAATTCAGATAAGTTCTATTCTGTAATATAGTGTTGATTGCCTACTTTTTACATATATTTTGTCTTCCTCAAATGATTACAAGTAAACCTTTTATTTACATGAGTACTTACAATCTTACAGATTTATTCCGATGATATGATTGTTATAACATTTTGAAGTCGATCTGTTTGTTTAATTACTGTAAATGTCTTTTTTTATTCTTCATTATTAAATGGCATCACACATATTAGTTCTTGTCGCAAACCCGTTCTCTATCAAACCTGTCATTTGCATTCCCTCCATCATCTGTAATGGGTGCTGCACACGAAGTGTTATTTCAATTGCGTCATCACCAACGCTTATGATGTTTTAGGCTTGTTTAGGTATGACGCGGTAAACCGCCACGGTTCTTTTTACATGTTTGTAAATGAATGGCAACTACTGCGCCCAACATTGGTCCTGCGCGTTTTCAGCCCTGTGTCGTAGTTAGATACATGTCAAGCGATGTGATGCGATGTGAAGCGTACTTTTTACGTCATAAAACTCATCCGCGGTGAACCGCTGCAAACATGAACGAGTCTTTGTGAATGTAATGAGTGTAGCGTCAGTAATCAACCTATAGGGCGTTGAAAGAAAGTTGCAATCAATTGAAAATCCCCCAAATCAAGCGTAAGTCTCAGTTGCCAATAATTGCAAATTTGCATTTGATCTCAACTTTCTTGCAACGCCTTATTAGTAAGAGAGAGAGAGAGAGAGAGAGAGGAGGGGGGGGGGGGGGGGGGGGGGAGGGGAGGATAATAACATCTAGATTTAGTTAACTTAATTTAAAATAAAATAAATTAATCCTTAAAAAATCCTAGGAAATTTAGGAGACTGGGGGTTGCAAAAAAGTTGAGTTGCAATCGATTGCAATTATCAGTTGCAAATTTTGCCATTTGCAATCAATCGAAACTTTCTTGCAACGCCCCAT